ACCACTGCACTCTAGTACTGGCAACAGAAGAAGGGAGATCTGTCTCAAAAATAAATAAATAAATAAATAAATAAATAAATGATTGTGTATCCGGCTAGATGTAACTACACATGGCTATAGTCCCAGTTATTCAGGAGGATGAGGTAGGAGGACTGCTTGAGCCCAGAAGTTCAAGGCTACAGTGACCTATGATTGTACCACCAAATAGACACTGTATTCTAGCCTGGGCAACATAGAGAGAACCCATCTCTTACAATAATAATTAATTAATTAGTTGTGCATCATTCAAGTAACTTGTATAACTGGAGAAAAACATAACCATTGAATATAGTATAATAGTTTACTACTGATCATAGAGTTCCTTTTACTTGCTTCTAATCTTTTTATTTCTTATAAAACTAAAACCACGGTTCACCCATTGAAGGCAGTTCATCACAGAACACGTCAAAAAGCCAAAAGGATTGCATCCAAACTGTAGGATGTGTTATCCACTGCTCCCTGCAGACAGTCGATTTGGTCATTAAGAATCAGCAGGACTTTTAACTTCGTGTGTGTGTGTGTGTGTGTGTGTGTGTATGCGCACACCGGAACGCACATGTGTATGTGCGTGTGTGTGTGTGTAAACTATGACAGATAAAACCATTTTGCTTATGTAAGAATATGTAACATAACTTGTGCTTCTCACAAAGGAATTGCTTTTCTGTCTTCTACACTCAGTAGGTATCTTCAAAAAATAATCCCCAATTCGTATGGGTGCACACTGGTTCAGTTTTACAGTTCTTATGGCCATTTATTTATTCTACGAGAAAGGGATTGTTGAGTTCCTGGTTCTACAGATAGTTACTTTCTTAGTGACACAAATTAGTAGGTAATACAGTTCATCCTTGAACAGCAAGGGTTTGAACTGCAGGGGTTCATTTATATGCAGATTTTCTTCTGCCTCTGCAACCCAGAGACAGCAAGACCAACCTCTCTTCTTCCTTCTCAGCCTAATCAACCTGAAGATGATGAAGATGAAGGCCTTTCTGAGGATCCATTTTTGCTTTATGAAAAGTCAATATATTTTTCCTGCTGATTTTCTTTCTAAAAACAGCTTCATTTCTCTAGCTTACTTTATTGTAAGAACACAGTATATAATAATGCAGCACAAACAAAATAGGTGTTAATCGACCGTTTATGTTATCAGGAAGGCTTCCAGTCAATAGTGGGCTATTAGTAGCTAAGTTGGGAAAATCAAAAATTATACTTAGATTTTCAGCTGCACTGGAATCAGAGTCCCCAACCACCACATTATTCATGGGTCAACTGTAATATTTATTTACTAAATACAGACAATTTATTATAAAAATAAACAATCTATTATAACAATGAACTAGAAGATCCATATGTATCACAAGTCCAATTTGTTACAATGTGACTATAGAGAAAACATAAATGTTATATAGGATTTTAGGGATCATAATGAAGTAAATGAATTCTTTTCAGATAATACTGTTTGAGATTATAAATTAGCTATAACTATCTTCTTAAATAACTCTGAATTCCAAACTAAAGAAGTTAAATTTAAAAATTAATTCACGGCCGGGCGCGGTGGCTCAAGCCTGTAATCCCAGCACTTTAGGAGGCCGAGACGGGCAGATCACGAGGTCAGGAGATCGAGACCATCCTGGCTGACACGGTGAAACCCTGTCTCTACTAAAAAATACAAAAAAAAAAACTAGCCGGTGCGAGTGGGCTCACGCCTGTAATCCCACGCACTTTTGGCGGAGGCCTAGCAGGCGGATCACGAGGTCAGGAGATGCGAGACCATTCCTCTGCCGACACTGGTGAACCCTGTCTCTACTAAAAAATACAAAAAAAAAACTTAGGGCTGGGGCCGGGTTGGTTGCGGCTGACCGGCTGTAGTCCCAGGCTGCTCCGGAGGGCTGAGGCAGGGAAATGCGCGTGAACGCCTGGAGGGGAACTTGCAGTGAGCCGAGATCGCGCCACTCCACTCCAGCCTGGGCAACAGAGCGAGACTCCGTCTGAAAAAAAAAAAAAAAAAAAAGCAATCCAGGTAAGACTTCTGATAGTGAATTTCTCATTTCTCTTGGGGTCCTACCTGCCTTGATTAAAAAAAATTAAGATGTAAGATTAAGGTAGTTTTTGAAGGAGAAGACAAGTTTAAAGAATATGTGTAAATTGCATGTGTTATATAATATATATATATGTGAATTAAATTTTTTTTTTTTTTTTTTTTTGAGATGGAGTCTCCGAGGTCTGCCGCACCCGACGGCTGCGGAGTGAGCTGGCGGCGGATTCCTCAGCTCAGCTGCAAGAACTCCGCCTCCGGGGTTCACGACCATTCTCCCTGCCGCGAGCCT